CCTCCAAAGTTTCTAAGGGGTCCTATTATTAGGTGACCACAGATGGCCCCTCAAGATGGAGCCATGAGATGAAGTGTTTCAAGTGTGTTGGCCCTCACTTGGTGAATAACTATTTGGCCATTTAGTTAAGAATTGTGTGGTGCAAGTTAGATCAATGGTGTAACAACAAACAATGATGGCTCAACATCAACATGTTGTTTTGCCTTAGGTGGAGTTGAGCAAGGCGGGTGCTAAGTTATCTAAAGGAGTTGCTCATCTAGAGTATAAGGGACTAGCAAAGTTTTAGAAGGGTAACCCTCCATAGTTCAAAGGGGAGTTTGACTCAAAGTTAATAGATTAGTGGATCAACGAGATAGAGAAGATCTTTACGGTTATGTCATGTCCTGAGGATAAGAAGGTTACTTATGTTTCTATATGCCAATTGGAGAAGTTGAGTACTGGTGAAAAGGTGCCTAATAGATGTTGTTGGCCTGTGGTGGGGTGATCACTTGGAATGTCTTCAAGGAAATCTTCCTTGGAAAATATTTCACTAAAAGTGCGAGATATACTAAAGAGGTAGAGTTTTTAAGGCTATAGAAGGGTAGCATGTCAATGAGGCCTAGAGATGTCAGAAAGATAGTTGTTCTTATGACCATTACTAAGTTCCCAATTTTGGTGGAGAAGGCCAAGACAATTGAGAAACTTGAGACAGGTGGTAGGTGGTAGGGTTGTGAAGACTTATGAAGGATCATCTATATATAAGAGATGAGGGCATCAGAGGAAGCTCTACGATAGGCCTCCAAAGTTTCTAAGGGGTCCTATTATTAGGTGACCATAGATGGCCCCTCAAGATGGAGCCATGAGATAAAGTGTTTCAAGTGTGTTGGCCCTCACTTGGTGAATAACTATTTGGCCATTTATTTAAGAATTGTGTGGTGCAAGTTACTCTAGTTGAAAGTGTAGCAAGAGATGTTATACCAATTACAGTTGGTGGAGTGTTTGTTTTGAGGAAGGATGAAGCTCTAAAGTTGACTGACCTGATGCAACGAAAGGGTGATATAGCTTCAAAGTTGACTAAATCTAAGGATAATCTTAAAATCCTAGGTAATCTACCAAAAGTTTAGGAACCCAAGGCAACAACATTCTTATAAGCATATGACATGAGGTCTTTAACCCTTGAAGAACTACTTATAGGTAAGAGCTTTGGACGCTTATTCTCTAGAAAAGATTTTTCAATGTTGGTGCTTTGGACGATCTAAAAGTTCATAGCATGTTTATAAGCATAAGATAAAAGATATAAACAATCACAAGCTATCATACATGCTAATCATACAAAGCTTATCTTATATGTATCATAGTTATACATATGCACAAATCAAAGTGAAAACTTATAAGCATAAGTAATAAAGTAAGCAAAACATATAAGCATGGCATATAAGGAACTTAGGTAACTTATTTTCTTCTTCAACTTCATATTCATCAGGTATAAAGGCAAGAATAAGAGAAATAGAGAACTTTGGTCATTGATTCTAAATAACACCAAGAGTGACTACATTAGGTCTCCAAGAAGGAATGATACCATTAGATCGAGTTTGGAAAGTCATATGGGTACATGCTCATTTATTTTCTCTTATGGAAAGAGAATAATGTGGGGAGGCTTCACCTATTTTTTATATCTTAGGTACTTAATTTATATAGGAGGCTGGATAGGATGAGCAAGTGTAGGCCATATTTCTTCAATGATCATAATGCCTGGCTCAAGCTGAGTAAGATCTAAAATAGATCAACGTCTTTAAGGTTGAACGGCACCAAAACTCTCAACGTTGCCTTGTAAAGGTTGGAGAAGATTTGGTATTGGAGGAACTCTATTGAGACAATATTTCCCATAGTATTACACCAATCCTTGAACTTTGTTCCTTAAGGTAGTGCAGGAACAATTCTCATGGAATCAAAATGAGAGTAAATTTGAGTTTTGAGAATGAATTTGCATTAAATACTCCGAGAGAGCGAAAACTTTGTCATCTATAATAATCATACTTACCTTAAACATGTTTATCTTTAATAAACAATACTCGTGATTTATATAAAAAGATACTAAATTTTAATCACTAAAAGACCTAATCTTGAACTAACGTTTTAGCCTGAATTTTGATAAACACCTAATGTCCCTCCTAAAAAACTAAGTTTTAGTCTAAGTTATTTAAGAGGCACCTTAAACACTTCATCAGCAACCTAAAAAACTATACAAATGCAACCTAACTAATAATAATCAACAGGAAAAAAAAATTGAAAAACAATGAACATTTAATATAACCAACAACCAAAAGCATTCAAACAATCTCAAATAGGTAGAAAACGAAACAAAAAAACTAAAAATTAGGGATTGAAAACTTACCTTGAGCAACCCAAAATGGAGTTTGTGGAAGGACAAATTGCCTTCCTTGGACGTCCGAAAGCAACAACGGAGGCCCTGAAGGACTTGCAAACACCATTAAGTGGAGTAAAGACACTTGAAAGGTGAACAGAGGTAGTAGTGAGTGGTTGCCACTGAAAAAAAAAAAAATGGAAGAACCAAAAGTGTGAAGGTAAAAATGATTTCTAGAACTAATTTTTAAAATGATTTGCATACAGATTGTGGAATAGTTACACTTATTTAGAAAAAAAGAAGAAAAAAAACACCACATTTTATTTTACATAAGTTATTTTACAATCGATGAAAAATTTTATTTTTATACTAATATTTAAATGTATTTTTTTATTCAATAGTTACAATAAAATTTAAACTCATAAAAATTGAATATAGCACTAAAGAATTTATAACAATTTTACGCACTCTTTTCAACTAAGTAAATTAGACTTCCTAACCTTTAAAATTTAAATATAAAACTTCGTATAAACTATCTAATCCGTTATCACGAGTGGACCTCAATGAATTGTGATAACTTCTATCAACGTCTAACAAAAATAAAATAAATGACAAAATGCATATATTCCGTATTAATGTGTATGCGTCACCTTACGCATATTTTTATATTTAATAAATAAAGTATACGTGATTCTAAATTTTGTTTTTCAGAAATGATTTTTTTTGTACAGTAACTAGTTATTAGGCACTAGGAGACATTTGTTAAAAGAAATATATTTTTCATACATAAAAATCATGATTGATAAAAAATTATAAATCTTAAAAATCGTAATTTTAATAATGAAAATTTATTTAATTGGTATTAAATTTTTTAAAAATATTTATAAATATTACTTATAAATAAAGTTTTTTTATTATATTAAATAAATAAATGAAATTAACATAACTTTACCTCATTGAAATTTTCATTATAATTTGGAAATTTTAGTTTTCTAACTCTTCTCATTAAAATTTTCTTTGTTTCCTAAACGTCATCGTGAACATAAATACCTTTCCGTAAAAAATTAACTCCAACTATCAAAACTCAACCCTATTAATACATTATTTTAATTTAAAGAGCGTAAACTAAACTCTCTTAATATTTGTTTAATACTTCTTCCGTTTTTTTTTTCAGATTTTAGTAAAATATTATTTTTTTTTACTTATTATTTTCACATTTCAAAGTAACATGTTATATTATCAATTATACTCTCATATTTTATATAATTTTTAATTAATTTAAACATTACAATTAATATGTATTTATCATAAAATAAAAATAAAAAAATGTAATAAAAAAACATCAAAATCATTTTAAAAAATAATAAAATAATCTTAAAATAACAATTATAAAAGGGAAGTTATATAGTACCTTCAAAGATCGAGAGATTTCAATACTATTCTATGTAAACTCATAAAAGATTTAAAAAAATTAATTTAATTATAAAATGAATAATCTAAATTATACTTATAAAATAAAAAGTAAGATAAAATTATAGAAATTAAAAATATAAGATTTTAATAATTTTATAAAATATTAAAAAAAGAAAAAATTAATAAATAATAAAAATAAAAAATTATTAAAATTATAATATAGAAATTCAAAAATTTAAGACAAAAAGACAAAAAATATACTTAAAAAATTATTAAAATTAAAATATAGAAATTCAAAAATTTTAAGTGAAAAGATAAAAATATATTTAAAAAATTATTAAAATTAAACTATTTAAATATATAATAATATTATTATAAATAAATTAAAATATATAAAATAAAAATAAAATAATTAAATAATTTAAAAATTAAAAAAATAAAATATTATAAATATTATTTAAATAAATTACTAAAAATATAAAATATAAATAACTGTACCGGTGGTACCAGAGAATTTCTCTTATAAAAGAAGAAATGAAGTTCCTCACAGTCTAAATGTGCATAAATGAGGAATGTAAGGTTTTGAAAAAAGTCCAGCAAGTGATGTTTCAATGAAAAATAAAGCGACTCATCATTATGGTCATTGTTATTGGATTTGAATAATCTGGTAATTGAATTGCAGCAAACAATTAGAGTGAAAAAGGTATTTTTTAAAATATATATATATATATATGACACACACGCTCTCTTCCCATTATTTTCTATACTTGTTAAAACCGCAACTAAATTTACAACGAATCAAATTATAAAATAATTTAATTTAGTTAATTGAACCAACGTCAAAAAGTAAAGACTTGAAAAGTTAAAACGATAAATCTCCCCCATAACGTGCGGGGCGACCCTTCAGAAACAACACTTTAAAAAGAAATTAAGCTTGCAAAAACCAAACACACCACTATTATTATAACAAGATAGGGTCTAAATAAACGAAGTTTCTAGCATAACATGATAACAATTATGTATTTCCAATCTTTATGAGGTACTACCAAGCAAAGATGAACATGCATTATGCAATGCCAAAAGAAGAGGAAGCATTTATTTGATGCCTCTCATTCCTCATTCATTCACAAACTGACAAGGCCCTAATCACTACCATATCAATTCCCCCATTCTCCATCTTCTCTTACACAAGTAGAAACCAAACCCAAAACTAAAATTTAAATACTCCTACAAAAACCCCACATAATAATAATAATTAAAAACCCATTAGGGTTTATATACTACTATGGGTATAGTCACCTAAGAATTAATTAATTAATTGTCAAACACATAACTTCACGGTATATGGTATACCTTATCGTATACTCGCCCGCACCTCATCACTATCCCTTCTTTTCTTTTATGCACAATTCAGAGTAAAAAACAAAACGCAACCGCCTCACCAAATCAAGGACCGTTCTCGCCGGAATTCCTTGCCGGCCGCGAAATCGGTCCCGCCGGCGACCGGAACCCTACCGTCACCGCGTCATGCACGCACAAGTGAAAACCGTCGTCAACTCCGCTCGTCTTCGCTTTCAAGCAAACATCGCACGCCGCCGCCGCCGCCGCGGCGGCGGTGGCGGCTTCTCTTCCTACGCTCATATTCATCAGAAAAGACTCTCTCTCCATGTGAAAATTCCGAATCCTTCTCTCGTACTCGGCGCGGTCCAGAATCGGCGCCGCGAACGCCGACCTGAACGGAGGCTCCCCGGCGGCGGCGGCGGCGCGGCGGAGCAGCAAGACCTTCTCCGGCGGAACCTTCTTCGGATTCGCGTCCTTCGGAGCCTTCTTGGAGCGCTTGCAGCGCTTCACGAAGAAGTAGTGCGCGGCGGCGTCGCGGCGCACGGCGGCGAGGTTGACCTTGGCGGTGACCGGAATCTTGCGGTCGGTGCCGGCGGCGGCGAGGTAGACGGTGAACTGGTGCGGCGAGATCCCTATCCTCTGGCTGAGGAGCGAGAGGAGGCTCTTGAAGCTGAGCGAGGCGTCGAGCGCGACGGTGCCGACGTTGATCTCGCGGTTGCCGTCGTAGTAGACGACGGCGAGCGACGCGCTTCCTCCGTCGTGGTCGATCATTTTTTCTTCTCCGTCGAATCGCGTTTGGGACTTTGCGTGGTGTTCAGCGATCAAAGGGTTTACACCACTTTTTTTTATGTACAAATGGGAGAAAGGTGTTGCGTTCCGATGTGGGGTTTTAGGTGTAGTTTTGAAATTATACTGAGGCGGTTAGGGGTGTTTTCGCCTTTTCACTTTTTACTAATATAATGCTAATTAACCAGAATTTAATTTAAAATCAATAACTCGCCACTCCCGATATAAAGTTACTTTACATAATCATCTAAATTACTATTCATTTCATAATTATATTTTTTAAAAATTATATAAATGATGATTTATTAAATTTTAGAATGACTATCTTAAAATTTTGCTTATTTTTTTTATCGGTTTATAGTATTAAATAAAGGTGTGAAAATTGTTTGGTGTGGTATTTAAATTGGGTATGTTGGATTTTAATTGTGTGGATTGTGTTTTAATTAAATTGGATATTGACGTATAATGCATTTATGGTAAGTGTAGGGTATTGTGGGAGTTGACGCGGGGATTCTGTTGTATTGGTATGGGGTGTGACTTGGGGATCAAGTAAGGTGCAAATAATTAGTTTTATAATCATATATATATGCTTTTAGGTGTTTGGGTTTGCTTTTTATCTGGAAAGAGCTGTTCCTGCTCGTGTTCTTCCAAATTGTTATGTGTTTCAATATGAGAGGATGCTTCATTCAGGGGTAATTTATTTTTGAAAGAGTTCTTCTAAAAAGTTTATAAAAAGTTTTATTATAATAAATTAATGGAAAGAGGAAAAACTGTTTAAGAATTCCCTTTGCTGTCATTTTATTTCGGAATGTATTTTTACTAGGGTGGATATAGGTTAAGTAGAAGATGAAGTTCTTTATTAAATTTAAAAATAATTAAGCTATGATTAATACTTAAATTAGTTTAATTTTTTCAATTGTATGGAAAAAAATATTTTATTAAATAAGAAAACTTCACTAAATTCTATTGAGATGAAAAGAAAATGTAAAAGAAAAAGGCATATGAAAATTATTATAACAATATATTAGATAAAGATATACAAAATTGTAATAGAGCATGTCTTATTGTAATTCAGATATTAATATGCTTTCATGTCAAAGTTTATAATTTTAATTATCATTCAATTTAAAATATATATTAATGTAGAAAATAAAATTTTTAATTATTTATCTAGACAAAATAAATATTTCAATAAAATTATTAAAAAATAAATAGTAATTTTCCTGAAAATATCGTCTCATAGTACAAAGATGATATTATCTTAAGAGTGATCCTATACAAATATCTCTATGTTTTATAATGGTTAAACATGTTTTTGTCCTCTACAAATTGATTTTATTTGATTTTAATCCCTAAAAAAATTCCTTGATTTTAATCCTTTAAATTCAATTTACTTTTTTTTAATTTTTTAATATTGTTAACTTTTACTATTAACATATGTCACCTTAGCATTCAAATTACTATTAGTTTTACTAACATGAAATTTTTTTAACTTCAAATATTAATTATTTTAGGGTTAAGTTAACTTTTAGGGTAAAAAATTTTAAGTGTAAAATTAGTTTTATCATAAAATTTAAATTAATTTTGAAAGAATTAATATTTTAAATTAAAAAAGTTCTTTGTAAGTAAAATTAATGTTGATTTGGATATTGTGATAACTTATTTTAACAACAAAATTTAATCGTGTTTAAAAATAGTTATTATATAAATTTGAAATATTAAAATAAGAAATTTTTTTGAGAGATTAAAATTAAATAGAATCAATTTTTGGAGGACCAAAAATACAATTAATCTTTTTATAATTTAGTATATTTATTATTTCTCTTTATCTCATTCTTTCTACTACATTATATCGCAATATATATAATAATAAATCATATTATATATATATATATATATAATTTTTTTATTAATTTAAATTAAAATATATATCATGGTGCAACTCAATGGGAAATAAATACTATACTATTTCATGACATACATAATAATTTTTTTAAGGAGACAAACATGATAGTTAAGCTACAACAATTTATCTTTTATCCATATCAAAGCAATATAACTTTCCATATCTAATGCTTGCAAGTGAAGACTAAAGAAAAAAAATATAAATAAAAAAAAGAAAGAGGAATAAAAATATGATTACAACTTTTTATTTTCTTTATTTTCATAGCATTCGAAAAAAAATATTCACAAATTGAGAAGTAAGCAAAAATTAAAAAAACAATAACAAAATAATCACTTTGACATTATCAAACAAACATCAAGAATCTACTATCAAAATCACTTATGTTGTATATTTGTATATCAAGACTCATATCATAAGAACTCTTTCCATTTCTCACATCATCATCACATGTTTCAATAAAAAAAATAATTGAATCACCTAAAAAAAGTCAAGAAAAAATAAATAAAAATATAACAAAAAATATTGCAAGCAAAAGTAATTAGATATACTAATGTCTCTCTTTTCCTTCTCACAAAACTTAGAATTGAAGATCAAAGAAAAAATATTTGGAAAAAACTAGGAAAAAAGAATAAGACAAATAGAAAAAGAGCAAACATATAAAATATATATAAAAGATCTTTGTGATAATATCAAACTACTAACCAACAATTCATGTCAAGTATAGGTGTAGGTGGATGATTTATAAGATATGTGACTGTTTGGAATGCAAATGACCAGGAGTGTGGGGGTAAGTGTGCATGGTATAGTAGAGCTCAACTTGTTTCAACTATATGACAATGGCGCCTCTCAACTATTGCATTCAGTCTGGGTGGGTGTGAAGGAATTCACCTCTATTGCCAAAGTACAAGGAAACCAATAAGGAGATTAAAATAATTTTCAACAATGGTTTTGAATTGAGGGAAAATAATAGAGACATCAAACTTATGTTTTATTGTGTAAAACCAAGTGTACTTTGAAAAATGATTAACTACCACTAAGTAATACAAAAAGTTATCTAATGGTTTAATGGAAGCTAGTCCCCATACATCTACGTAAAGTAGTTGTAATGGTCTTTGTTTATGGCTTTTGGCAGTGATACACGAGATGCATGGATGGACTTAGCTCAACTTTATTTAATGGATATCCATGAGGTAATGAATAACTCTATCAAAAGGATTTCTAAAACTGTGGTGATAGGGTGGGTGGTTTGACAATGTAGTGTAGAAGGCATATAGATTGGCGGAAGGCATATAGATTGGTGGAAGGGTGTGACATGTGGTAAAGGCCCTCCCTATGTTCCCCTTTGACTAGTGGCACCTATATCTTTAGGTGCTTCACCAAAAAATGATCATAAAAGAATTCAATAAAGATAGGGTTCGTTTAGCATAGGGAATAAGTAGATAAAAGATTTTCAGAGATAGTAATAACATGTAGTACTTTGGGAAGCAAAAGTTTGTGAGATGATATATGAATGAAAGTTTTATCAATGTGGTTGATGGGGAGGGTATAGTGTCGTCATCTACAATGAGTTGATCAGTGCCTTGATAGGGTTGAGTGAGGTGTAGGTGATCAAGGTCAAGGGTGATGTGGTGTATGGCTTTAGAGTCCACAATCCAATCAGTGGTGTCCTATGAGTGGGTGTGTTGTGGGCATGATGAGCAATTGAACCAATTTAATGTCAGGGTAACCATGGATTTTATAGTAGACCTTGGTGGTGTGCCCAAGTTTCTCACAGTACTGACATATGATTTTTGAGGTGACATTAGAGGATGTTGGGCGAGTAGTAGAGGAACATGAGTTTTAGTTGGGTTTGAAGTAACTATTTTTGCATAGGTTTGACCCTTTGTGGAAAACATATGCAGTGGTGAATAAAGCGAATTCCTGATTGTGGTCATCCTATTAGAAGTATCTCTCAAAATTAGTGAGAAGATCATGGGAGTTCAATAAAATCAATAAGGTTTTTGCGAGTGCGAAATGCAGCAATGACCTCTTTATATTCTAGGCCAAGGCTATTAAGGATATGAATGATAAGGTCATCATCTTCCATAGGAGAGGTGATGAGATAGAGCTCATTGAAGATGGAGTCGATGCTAGGGAGCGGGGTATATCAATACGGACTAGTGTAATGTGACAAAGGCTTCTTGAGATACATGATGGGTGCGCTTGTTTTGCTCGCATGCATCTTTTGTAGGATATACCATGCTTGCTTCAAGGTAGTTATGTTGCTAAGCATGGTGATGACATGTGTGCCTATTAAGGAGACAATGTCATGCGAGAATAGTTGATCTTGACGACGCCAATAATAATAGTTTACATTGTTTGCAACAAGACACATGGTGATGCCATCAACAAACCTGAGAATGTCATAGCGAACAAGGAGGGTGTTGAATTGAACCTTCTAAGCTGGATAATTAGAACCATTCAATTTGATAGAGGATTGTGTGTTGAGAGCAATAACAGATTGATCTTTATTCAACGGGATGGTGTTGATGGAAGATATGGATCGAGCTTTAAGTGAGAGCTGCTGATACCATACAAGATTTGGAAGAATTAGGTTTTCCAATTGCATTTAAATATGTGCAAAAATGTCTAATATATACAAATGAAGAATACATGAATTAAAGATATCGATACAATCAACTATGATATTTCCCAATATATCTAAGAAGATTATGGTAAAATAATAAACAATAATGATGGGATATGTATCAATATAAATAAATTGTGTGTATATGAATTAATGATATGTCTTATGCTAATAGTAGAACCTTGTGAATCTTATGATCCAAATGGTAGAAGACAATCATAATGTTGATTATGTTTATGTCCTTAGAGAAGCTAATTGAGTGGTAGATTATTTTATCAAGAGAAGTTTTACTTTATTAGAGAGGATACATGTATTTGATACTCTCTTAGTTTGGATATACTTTCCTTTTGTTCGCAATTTTTTTTAATGTATCTTTCTTTCATGAGTTTTAGTTTGGACAGTTAACCCCTTTGAATAAATAAATAAATATTTATCAACTTTCTTACCTTATAAAAAAAATCCTTTAATTGAATAAGAGATTTTATACCAATTTTACACGTCACATTTTCTTAACCAAATATTAATGCATTTTATGTGTTTAAATCCAATTTTTTAGCTATTGAGTGTTGGAGAATTCGAACATAATTAGGGAGGCAACAAACATTACTATAAATTAAACTTCATTATGATATATATGATACATTACCTACCTGTTACAATTGGAAGAACAAAAAGTTCATGTATTATTCTTTTCCTCATATTTTCGCACCCTATTTCTTTGAGAGAGAAAAAAAGAGTAATTTCTCAATCATGTATAGATGAAAAGAGCTCAAGAGCTCAACATTGGAAAAATATATTAACCGACTATCAAGCGAAATGTTCTTTGTTGGTCAGTATTGTTTTAATTACTGATGTTTCTTTTTAAAGAAAAAAAAAAAAAAAACTTATGTGTATAATGTATTCACATAATTTTTACCTTTACAACTTTTGATGATGTATTTTGTGATCCTAGTAAGCGTGTGACATGTGTTTTGGAATATGAAATCGTTGGAACATGGTCATATCATTTAAGGAGGACAAAGAGAACATCACATAAATTTTTTTAACTTCTAAATGAAAAAAATTTGCAAGAGAATTTGGATTAATGAAGGATTGTGTTACCTTTTTAAAGTTTGCAAATATGATAAAAAAGAATAATCAATATTTTAGTTAAAATTTATGTTGTCAGAATCAAATTAGATTGACTGGTTCAATCGGTCAAACAAACAACTGGTTAGTCTATCAATCCGAAAAAATCACAAAATTGATATCTAAAAGAATCAGTCAAAAATTGGATGAACTGACTCAAAACCAGTCCAAAGAATCGAGTTGAATTGGTTTTTTTTTAAAACATTTTTTTCTAAATTTTTTGAAAATATTTTATGATAAATATATATATATATATAATAATTATAAATTAGAATAAATTATGGTATTTATTACTTTTAATAATTTTCTTATACAGATGTAATTTAGTCATTTATATTAATTTATAATTTTTATAATATGATATTTTATATTATATATTATATTAATTTGAAATTTGTGTACTCTGAATATAAAATTGTTAATATATATTATTATATTTTATTAAAATTTAAACTTAAATATTATATTTAAACTTTCACATGCACTTTAAAAAATAAAATATATAAAATAATGTCTTATTTTAATTTTAGTTTTATAAAATTATGATACTATACTTATGTGATATTATTTTATGTATCATTTAAATATTATTATTATTTCAACCACAATTAAATTATTGAACTTTAAATCAATGTCTTAATCGGTTCAATAACTAATTTTAAAAAACTTTGGTTAAAATAAAATTATCATTTTGGATAATATATTTTTGTGAACACATAAAAAAAACAGAGATTTTAAAATCTTAATTAAATATGTACCCAAAAAATGTAAAAGAAAAAAATCTCAATTTAATATATTTTTTTTATTGTAATTCAATGATTTTAAAAATATAATAAATAAATGTTAGGCTAAAACTAGCTAAGACTAAATTAAGAGAAAAAAAAAAAAGAAAAAAAAAACTAGAATTCATACTTCATTCATAACTGTCAAAGTTACAAAGGGGATTATTTAAAATAAGAAAAACTAACGGTACTAATATCTAAACCTTCCACCTGGATGATCTAGATAAACTAGCAGTTCAAATATAATCTTTCATCCAAAAAAATGTTTCTTAACTTCTCTCTTGGGCTCGGTGTGCTTGTAATCAATATTGGGCCTTTGCATTGTATTAGATGGGCTGCTAACAATATATAGCTAACTAATCATAAAATTAAATAGATAGATTAAATCTAATTCTAATATTATATTATTTAATGAATGAATCTGATGAATATTAAATAAATTGATTGATTTGTCGTCTTTATTATTTTCCACCCTCCAGCTTGCACCTGAGATGATGAGTCAGCTGATGTGTAAGCAAAATTAATTACAGGTTAGTTGCATTTAGCTGATATTTAACTAGTCTGATGTATACAAAGTCAGAGTATAAATCGTGTAGTGAAAATACATTCGGTGCACGTAGAAATTCATAATTCAGATGTTTTGCTCCTTTATTACATTCAGTTTTCTCTATACTACGACCAATCATTCATCTCATTGGAACAGTGCTGAAGTTTGGAATGATTAAGATTATCATCATTTGGTGCTTTGAGCCAACCTGAATTGACTATTATTGGAAAGTTTTTCTCTTCCAACCATGTGTTCTCAAAACGGAAAGACCTCATAAGGCTTCTTAGGATTGAAAATGTAAAAATTTTACATGTTAAAATTGAACTCTATCAAAACTGCTTTCCAGTTATTTCAGTTTAGCTCCAAAAGCCTTCAGCTCTTCACGTAGAAATAAGCACTAGGACGCTACCAGATATTCTGGAAATAGAATCTTTGACAATTTGTAGTGCTAAAACCCTTTTTGTCTTTTTGATACAATGCTCTTGAAACCATTTTACATGAAAAAAGAACGCAGAAACGTTAATGATTGAACATATAACAACCATTCTCATTGATCACGGTTCACTATCTACAACCATTGGCTCTTACATTAAATATCAAAGTTGAAAATGCATAGCATACACATGAAAATTCTTAAAACCACCATTACACCACTGACACTAAACACTTGCCATAGACCGAAAGAACTGAGAGAAAGTACCAAGCTGTGGTGTCTGCACTGTACCAAATCACCTGTCTCTATTTTCTATCCCCCAATAAAAAAGTGGCGCGTGAATAAAGAAAATTAACAACCAGGAGAAAGTGTTTCACTCTTTTAACCATGTCACCTTGAATTGTTGAGACATGGAAGGAGCAAGGTTTTAAATGAAGGTCTAAAACCGCAATTGCAACTGCATTATCAAGGCTTTTTTCTGCAACCATATTTGTCCGCAATTTCCTGCAATGTCAAGGTTCTGAAGACCCCAAAACTGTTTTTGTGGTCTCCGAAACGCTGCAACCATATTTGTCTACAATTTACTGCAACGTCACGTCAAGGTTCTGAAGACCCCAAAACTGCAACTTCAATCGCAACTTAAAATCTTGGGAAGGAGATAGGAAACGGGTGGGGTGATTTCAATATGCATCACACCAATGAAAACTAGAAAATGGAAAACATGGCGTATTCAAGAAATCCATAAACAACTTGTTTTTCACCGGCCATCAACAGAAGTAAAAGACTCAGCAAAACCATTAGGCCTTGCAGGGATACTACTCTTACTGTCTTCTAGGTCCACATAGCTCAAGTCCTTTCCTTCTGTCTCCTGCCAGCCCTTCACCATTTGGTTAAGGGGAAGACTATAATCTATGCCCGAATACTCCTCAGTATCATCATCTAATGGTTTCCATTTTTCAACAAGTGGTCCAAGAACATTTACAGCATGACTCATATCTGGCCTTTGGTTTGGTTCTCTGGCAGTGCAGTGTCCAGCTAACTCAGCAATTATGGAGACGCTATCAAACGTTTCTTCCTTTATGTCAAGGGCTGGATCAATAGCAGCCATTAGTTTCTCCTTGTCTGATTTTATATGCCAGAACCACGACGCCAGGTATTGGCTCTCCTCGGGTCTATCCTCATCAAGTGCCATTAATCCAGTTAACAACTCCATTAGCACCACGCCAAAACTGAAAACATCTGCTTTGGTAGTGACTTTTCCTGTCACTGATATATACAAGAGGTAGGAATCAGTGATTCAGTATAGTTTATGCATGTATCAAATACATCAGGATTGTTTTCGTTTCAATATGTGGTCCCAAACAATGATATCTCGCAGAATCATATGAAGTCTATCCAGGTGCAAGATATTTTTCTGTGAATTTTTTAGACATGTGTTCACTTCTTTTCAAGCATTTCTCAATCTGGCTGAAGTATATAAAGATGGAAAAAAATAATTGACAGATTTCTTCAGTAATTATATATTGCTGAAAAAGCAACCATATGTTACAACATTTATTGTGTATAATCCATATTTATCATGCTCTGTATAATATGTGGATGTAAATTGAAATCTATTTTCCCCCTAGAATCAATCAGTTAACTAACACCCTTGAATCCAATGTTAAATGTTAATAAAGCAGTTAACAAAAAAATTGAGGTCAATGGCTCTATGAGTTCTGCTATAGAGCTCTAATAAGAAATCTGAGCCTTTAAGAAGGTTAAAACAGCTTTTAGAAAACCATACTCAGAGCAGGCATTAGCATACACAATCAACATAAATTACAACAAAAACTAAGTAATCAAATTCGTGAAAAAAAAATCACCTAATATAAAATATTTGCAAAATAAAATAAAATTACCTGCATATTCTGGTGCCAAGTATCCAAATGTACCAGCAAGCCTGGTGACTACAGATTTTTTGCCATCAGGAGCAAGTTTAACCAATCCAAAATCTGAGACTTTTGCTCTAAAGTCATCCCCAAGCAAAATATTTGATGACTTGAGATCTCTGTGAATGAAGATCTGGTGAGCTAGACTATGAAGATACTCCATTCCTCTAGCAACATCCAAGGCAATATTGAGCCTCCTCTTCCAAGAGAGTGGCTCTAGCTGAAAACTCTTCCAATGGAAAAGATGCATACTAAGAGCCCCTTGTGGCATATACTCATAAACTAGAATCCTCTCATTCCCTTCGACTGAATAGCCCAAAAGAGACACCAAATGCCGGTGCCGGACTTTAGACAGAACTGCAATCTCAGATTGGAATTCATCCAATGCTTTGCTGCTAATCACACCAGATTCCATTCTCTTCACTGCAATCTTAGTTCCATCTTCCAACTCTCCCTTGTAAACAACCCCAAACCCGCCACGTCCAACCTCATTCTCCCTCGCGAAATTGTTGGTCACTTTTCGAAGAACTTGAACCGATATCACAAGGTTCCCAGCCTCAATGACACGAGCATCCCCACTTCCATTCGAACCCCCGGAACCAGTTCCAGTTACCGTGGAAACACCTCCATTGCCGTTGTTGGCAACAACAATCTTCAGCACATTGTCTGAATCAGAAGCATCTCTAGGGTGAATCACTAACGACCCTGCACCCTCCGACACACCCTTTCTCCTCCTGAAACAGTACACATAAAGAGGAACAATCAGAAAAGCTACAGCAGCAACACCTACAATAGGAGCCACAATCGGAACCAAGTTTCTCCCTTTGGAATTATTTGACCCAAGAGAAACACTGGACTTGTGAAAGGGACTAGAGTCTTCATTTGTATTAGGATTATGCTTATCAGTTGAAGGAGATTCACCTTCACCCTTTCTAGAACCAGAACCAGAACCAGAACCAGACCCTGGTGGAGAAAGAGCAACACCTGGGGCACTTAACAGAGGATTCCCATCAATCACAAGTTTCAACCCTTTCCTAAAACTCGGCAAGGGAAGGGAAATGTTATTCCCACTCAGATCCAACAATGTCAAAGATCTCAAACTAGTCCAATTACTCGGAATCCCACCACTAATATCATTACCTCCCAATCTTATTTCAACAAGAGAATCCAACTTCCCAACAGAAGGACTCAAACTCCCACTAAGATTAAACTTTTCCAAGACAATCATTTCCACTTTTCCATCACCATTGCACTTTACCCCCAACCATGGCCCATCACACGGGTCATTCCCACTCCACGAATCAACCAAAACCTGAGGATAACCCAACCCCGCAAGAAACTCCAACAGCGCCATCACTTCAAAAGCACACATAACCCCAACCTTGGACAAACAAAAACTATTCGACCCAAAACTCACTTTACCCGCTTCAAATTCAGGGATCGGACCCATGAAACGGTTATTATTCAAATCCAACCGGTCCAGCTTCATTTCACTCAACCCACGCGGGATTAGCCCCACGAGCTCGTTCCCGTTGAGATCGAGATCCTTGAGCGAAACCAAATCCCCAATGTTCACCGGAACAGTCCCCGAAAACTTGTTTCCGTGAAGCCACAAGCTCGTCAACGAAACCATGCTCGCAACCACGTCGATTCTCCCGGTGAGCCCTCCGCCGCGCTGGTTGTTCAGCCACAGAACCTGCAACGCCTCCGCCGCGCTCAGCGTTGCCGGAATCTCGCCGGATAAGTTGTTGCCGGAGAGCTGAACCACCGAGAGCGACGCCATGCCGCCGAGAAACCCGGGAATGGGGCCCACAAGGTTGCAACTCATGCACGACAAGTTCCTCAGCTGCGCCGAGGACTCCAACGTCGGAGGAAAGCGCCAGCCGCCGGAGCTGGCATTGAGGTGGTTGTAATCCAAAGCCAACACCTCGAGACTCTGAAGCCCATGGAAGAAGTCTTGGGGGATGGAGTCAAACTCGTTGAAGTTGAGAAACGCGTATCTTAAGTTTGATAAGCCGTTGAGGGAAGGTAAGGGCCCGTTGAGCTTGTTGTTCTGGAGGCCCAAATTCTCGAGCATGGTGAGCTCGTTGAGGTTGGGAGGGAGCGGGCCCACCAGGCCCAGGTTCTTGGTCTGAATCTGGGAGACTCGGTTGCCGTTGCAGAAGATATATTTCCACGGAGCATTACCGTTACCGTTACCGCAGGGGTCTCCTCCTTCTTGGGGCCACGGTAAGAGCTCTGGGTTCTTTAAACCTCTTCTGAAGCCGTTAAGAATCTTGACGTCGTTAGGGTCCGTGTCTGCGAGAACAAGAGGGAAGAAACATAGGAGGAGAAATGGGAGAGGGTGCGCCATGGCGTGCGTTAGGGAAACGGTGCGTTTGGAGAAGCCATTTTGAGTGTCAACTGTCAAGAGATGCATTAAGAGGTAGATTCAGGTTGCTGCCAACTACAAATAGCGTGGGAGAGTGCTATGTTAATGTATTGCACTTAACAAATTACAATGCACGTCCTACATATAATAATCCAAATAAGATATAATTATTTGAATTTATAATTCCCAATTTTTTTTTTGTTTTTCTTATTTGGATCAAATTTATATATAACTTGTATAAATAAGGCTTTAAAAATCATACATAACATCATTTTCATTGATTAAATGCATGAGTAATTTTTGCATTTGAATTAAATTATTTTATTACGTGAAAATATACAAAATAATTTTTTATTTTGAAATTTTATTTTAGCTTTAATTCTTGTTTAAGAAATTTGGTGATATATAACTACTATTAGAGACAATTTTTCTTTGAGTAATACCAGCGGTTGAATTCTTTTTCGAATGCTTAAATAGTCGACACGTCTGAGCTTACACATTTAATTTTTCAAAATTTGAATAGTTTGGGGGATGTTTCGGACGATCGTATTTGAAAGATATAACATTTTAGTTTTTCTTTAAAGAGTAAATTACTTTCATATATTCTCTAAATATTAATCAGAATAATTGTGTTAATGTCAGTTTTTCATGAAATATTCTTAAAAATATATATTTATTTTTAGAAATATATATTTTTAAAATAAAGTATTAATAATTAAAATATAATTTATATTTTAAAATATTATTACTCCAAATTTCAATTATAATATAATTTATATATGTAAAAATATTTATTTATTATAAATTTTATTGTATAAATAAATAAATAAATATATGCCTATAGTTGGCATGTATAAATTAGGCAAATAGAAATATTAATAATTTTATTCATTTAAATTATATTCGACTTAGCTAGTATGTAAAAAAAAATATATAAAAAATAAATATATTTTTAATCTTTTAAATTTAAGATAAATTTATTTTTAATTATTTAAATTTAAAATTCAACATTTTAATCTTTATTAAATATTGTGATATAAAATTTATCAATTGATATTTTTATTAATAAAAATATCATATTAAATATAATCATTTTAATTTATATTTTTAAATATATTATTAATGACATTAAAAATTAAAATTAAAAATTATAAAATTAAAAATAATAATTTTAAATTTAAAAATAAAGATAAATATATCTTAAATTTAAAAACTAAAAATATATTTAAATTAAAATAAAATTTTGTCTTATTATGAGTGTTATTAGATATCCAGAGTTTGCCACGAAGCCACATATGTCACTATGACATGCCCCCTCGTCGTTCTACGTGCCTTGCAGTAAACTGTAAACTGGATACTATTTTATTTTATTTTATTTTTGCTTTGTTTTCTTATGGATTACTCTCTAATTCAGTTCTATCCTAGTATGCACTGTGCAGTGTTCGCTTATTGCCATGTACTTGCTAGTATTATAAGTAATAAATTATATTTATTTAAATCATAAATAATAATTATTATTTTTTTAAAATTAGTCAAAGTTAAATTTTTATATTCTTTATTATAAAATTTATTTTTTTTACATTTATTTATAATTAATATTATATTAATCATTTAAAGTAAAAAAATATATTTAAAATAAAATTTAATTTTTTGATAAAATTAATTAAAAATTAGTATATTAATTATTTTTTAATTCAAATGAGTTATCTTATATTATTTATTATTAGAATCGGGAGGTAGTATAATGTATAGCTTAATGAAATTAGTTTTTGTCATTTTGACCAGGAATGTCAACCAACTTTTTTTATAGCAATAATGTTTACTGTTTATGTTTATGGTTAGATTCCATTCTTAGGAAACCGAATTCTAGCCTCCATTTTTTGCTCTAAAGATGTGTTTGGCTACCGAAATTCAGTTTCTAGCGAACCGAATTCCAGGTAGCTCCTTTTTTTCGTTTTTATTAAGTTATTTATTTATAAAAAAAACAAATTTAAATTTTTAAACAACTTTAAAAGTATCTAATAATTAAATAATAAATTATATTTATAATAAAATTTCAATTTAAAAAATTTAATAAGTTATATTTATAATAAATTTTAAATTTAATAAATAATATTTATA